CCCAAAGAGTGTTTGCAGCTGATTGGCTGCTAGCTCCATTTGGCTGAAGATTTTCATTCTGCCTTCTTTTATCTTCTGATGGAGGGCAGCTGGCCGGAAGGGTGTTGACAGTAGCACTCACTGTGCAAATTCCGTCTGGTTCATCAAGAAATTGCCGAGATTTGCATAGTGTATGGCCAGCTTAATACAGGCCCATTAGATGTGAGGACGCCAAGGGACATACCATAGCCCGAGTGAGAAGGGGGAGAGAGGTAAGTGATCACAGCCGCAGGGCTGAGGATCGGGTGAGTATGTTTTCTTTATTTTCGCCCCGAGCCCAAAATGAGCACTTAACCCTTGCAGTGTCAGGGTAGCCCCACTGCAAGGGTTAATTTAAAAAAAATAAACAAGTTCTTTAATTCAGCAGAGAGGGTTTATTATCCCTTTTCAGCCACACAGAGCATATGACAGCCAATGTTTGTCTAAAAGATCTGCGCTCCTAATCTAACCTCCAACATAAAAACTATATAAAAGCTGCTGTGCAAAAGAGTCAATACATCTCCCACTAATAACAATGCAAAACAAATGCCCAACACTAAAAAAATATCATGCAATAAAACAGAATAAGATCCCAGCAGTGTGCCGCTGGTACTACACCCATCAACGATTACATCTGATGGATACATCAGGTCCGAAAGTCAATTCGTTTCGGGATTTGGATTCGGAAGCTCCTAACCCTGGTGTAGGCAGTATATAGTACTGTATATGTGGTTAGAACAGACTAGTGCAATAATAATAATTTTCGTTTAAAACATCTGCTTTTATGATACATTGTATATAAAAAATAAAGGTGAATGTATATTATTAAAAAACATGTTTATATGTGAATGTTTTGGCACCTGAAAAGTCCTTATAGACTTGGGAGAAATAGTGGTAGGTTCAGCTGGGGTACCCCGAACACATGAGCCACTCTGGGTAATGTATGTTGTTAATGACTGAGGGCTGATCATTCCTTTCTTCCTTTATGGACTACTGCTGGCAAAGCTTACCACACGTGCAGTGTGTATGCCTGGCTTTAAAGAACAACTCCGGGTAAAATCTTTACTAGGTAGTTAATTCCCAAATGTAAATACGTATATACAAAGATCTATCATTGAAAATTATTGTAAAATACCACCATATCATGTGTCCAAAAAAAGAGACATTTGCTGTGATTCCTCACTAAACTAATTTAAGGGGGTCTCATCACATCCTATAATATACATTAGATCAGGGGTAGGCAAACCCTGACCCTCCATCTGTGGTGAAACTACAAAATCCATCATGCATCTGCCTCTGGGAGTCATGCCTGTGGCTGTCAGAGTCTTGCAAAGCCTAATGGGATTTGTAGCTGCACTATAGCTGGAGGGCTGGGGTTGGCCAACCACTGCATTAGATGATTAGATGTTATTGTGGACCTTGCAGTTAATTTAAAAGCCTGCATGTAAAACTTCCCGATATGTGACAACAATTGTATATCAATGGCATGATTTTTCAGAACAAAAACTTTTATTAAAACACCATTTTGAACCCAAGTCATTGACAATGCCTAGGATGAAATGCTATCACTGGGGGTCCGCGGTTCGAATCCCTGCCAAGACATTATGTGCAAGGAGTTTGTATGTTCTCACTGTGCTTGTGCAGGTTTTCTCCTGATACTCCAGTTTCCTCCGACACAAGAAAGACATGCTGGAAGCTTAATTGGCTCCTGACTAAATTGGTCCAGTATGCGTGTGCAATAGGAACCTTAGATTGTTAGCTCCATGATGGCAGAGACTGATGTGAATGTGCAGTATGCAAATTGTTGGCGCTATATAAATACCTGTAATACATCAAATAAATACATTTCTATGGAGTTCAGCTTTAATTCTCACTCTGGATGATGCCTAAAACAAGATAGCTCTGTCCTTCAGGAGAGAACAGCAGTTAAAAGAGAACTATGGGGTAACCTTTTTATCCCATAGTTCGCTTTAGGGTAACGGGAGGACATATACTAACCACCTCCTGTGACCCAAAGCTCAGTATATCGCAGGCTATTGCCCGCGATATACTGAGAGTGCCACAGCCAGGACAGATCCTGACAATACTGTCGAGATCCACACAGCTGGCTGATTGACAGCGGGCTCTGCCTATCTACAGGCAGAGCCAGTTGTGCCCGCCCCCTCCACCATCCATTGCTCTAGTCAGAGGAGAGGACAGGGGGAATCCCTGCAGGGAGCCGTGACTGACACTCTCTGCAGAGAGATGATTGGAAAGTGAGTGAGCGACGGTATGCGTCGGTATACAGTTTCCATGTCACAGGTCGGCTCTAATTCTGAGGATGAGTGGAAATCACTCACCTACTAGTTTTCCTTTAAAGATATTGTCTGGGGAAGTGCTGTGATCTCTGTGTATGGTGATAAATATCTGGAATTGTTATTCTTACATATTACTCAGCATGCATTAACATAATATGAACAGAAATATATACAGTGCTAGGTCTACTTTAAGGAGAACTGTAAAATCTGATTGTAAGGTGTGTAAATCGGAGTCCTGGGAGGTGGAATGGGAGAGCCCGTGTTGCTGTAATGAATGAATACATTAAACAAACAAGAAAAAAGGTAATGCTAAATGCATAACAGATGTGTAATAGATGCATAAAAATAAATTAGAATTTCCATGGCAACAGGATCAATGCACTTTCCATGACTTCCACGTGTTATAAAGTGAGTCATTACAATATTGCCATGAATTGGAATAACAGGGAACAGAGGTTCATGCCCTGACCGCTATGAACAAGCTCTCTGCTGCAGTCTGACATGTGTCACTTTGCTGGGGTGGAGGGGTCTCATGTGTTCAACGATTTGCTGAAAAGGACTGATGCACATAGATACATGGCCAGAAATACGTTTTCAGAAATGACAATCGATGAGATATCTGCTTGTCCTTGTCCTGCACCCACCCTGATTTTCTTCCTGACCAATAAAAGTTATTCTGTTTGAATTTGATGATTACTTAATTACAAAGCTGTTTTTTTTAAAGATGGAAGATGTCTATGTGTGATAATACGCATTGTTACTATAATGATGGTTATCATATTGAGGTAGATTGATGTGGTTGCCTCAGGCGGCATCCCTTTGGGTCACGTGGGGGGGGGGGGGGGCTTTTGGGGTGCCATTCAAAAGATCCACACAGTGTCCATACCTTACGAGAACTGGAGTTGATCCTCAGCCTGAAGTCCAGTGTCGTCTGCTGTGCTGTGACAGAGCTCCATCCATATGTGCATTGCTTGTACAGCTCCCTTTGCGTGCCCTGTAGAGGAGCCAGAATGTGACATCACTCCGGTACGGGCACCTCTACATGACACATGAGGGAGCAATACCTACAGATGTAGCTCCCTCACAGCCATAGCCCCAGCCTGTCCCACCTCAAGCTGACACTCGGCGCCGGGCAGCATATTTTGAATGTCTGTTTGGCGCAAGAACTGACAGTGCTGCACTAGGGGGAGGCTGAGGAGCCTCTCACCTAGAAAAGTGGAAGGCACGCGGCGACCCACTGAACATGGGGTTGCGACCCACTTTTGGGTCACGACCCACCAGTTGAGGACTAAGGCTCTAGCAGATGTCCCACACAATTCCTGGCAAACAGTGAGCTGGGTGGGACGCCGGGCACAGCCGGAGTGCGTAAACCACAAAGACCCCCCCGGCCTCAGGTGGCGAAAAGTCTAAGGACACCCCTGGTGATCATAACATCTTTACCATTTTAGTGCATACAAGTGCTGCTCCAGATCAGTCCACCATAAATCTGCTCAGTGGGTGCATGCCTGGCTCATTTTCCAAGCAAAATTAAACTGCTGCACTTCTGAAAATCATATGCACTTAAGTTATTTAATCCTACGGCATGCGAGACATCTCAAGAGAACAACTCGAATGTGTTCTGCGCAATCATTGCACTTAATCGGTTTCAGAAGCACACACAGCTGATCCTGTGAATGAAGCCTGAAAACAATGGTTGCAAACTTTTTGCACTAACATACGTTCAGTATCAGAGTCTATGACTAGCTGCATGTTTAGTTTGCAGTGCCGCCATCCACTCATCCATATTATACTCACCAGAAGCAAGC